AGAGTAGTCCCCACTGCTGGACTACCTATTGCAGTTCTATGGCAGGAATAAAGCATGAAATAAAGACACTCCCTAGAAATAATCTCCTTTGATTTGCTTGGTAAGCTTCACACCCTATGCCCAAGTTCAAATGCATAGATTTCCTCTGATCTCCTGAAAAATATTAGCTCCTCCCTGCATGCCATTCTCCACTACCCTTCTTCTTTCAAAGAAAAGCTGGCTTCATTCTAACGGAGAGGATCCTTGACTTTCTCTGTCTGTGTGTGTGTGTGTCTGTAACTGTTGATCTGCACCAACTCTCAACATGCAACATTTGAAGAGCATCCCATCTTTGAAAGTGCCATGTCCCTTTCTCATTGAGTGGACTGCTCTGCAGCTCATCAAAGAGAAAGCTCATGAGCACACAGAGTTTTGCATGAAGACCCCCCCCCCTCCTTTGCTCAAGGCTTCCAGAATTTCGGGAGCTCTGTATAGGCAAAAGAGATATTTGCTGACCTGAATAGGGAATCGTGCTCACAGGAAAATTCCACAAGTGCTCTGGATTACACCCACAGTTTAGGAACCAAAGTAAGTTTGAGTGCATAAGCAAAGGTTAGCAACATTTTTGATTTTTCCAGAAGTCTCCATTTGTGGGTGTGGACACATGTGAGTTCCCAGTTTCCAACATATTCTAAGTCTATATGGCAAGAGCAAAAGTTCAAATACTTCTTTGCTGCTCTATGATTTTTATATAAAAATGGGGCATTGAACATATGCTGATTTGACTTCTTCTGCATGAGTTAAGGATGACAGCTGCCTGAATGCAATTTATAAAAAGTGGAAGGGTTTACGGGAGATTCTCTTTCTTTTTCATCTCTTTGGAAATATTTGGTGCATACCAATTTGAATCAGTTGGGAAACCAGGCAATGCCAGCGAACTGGAGGTCACAAATGCAAGATCCCAAAATGATGTTGTCCAATCTTAGTATGGAAGGAATCATTGGAATATAGCCAGGGTCTGGGCAGTGCTGGAGGAAAGCAGCAACTGCAGCCAGACCTGTCCTGGTGAAAAGGAATGGCAAGAGGCACTGCTCCTGGGTCAGTAGGAAGGAAGCCCCCGCCTTGCCCAAGCAAGCTTTGCCAAGGGGGGCTGCAACAGACTTGACTCTCCCAGAGAATATTGAAGTGTGCAGAGCTGTCCAAAACTTTTATCTGCCTGCAGTAAAAGACAAGATGGCATCCCTCCAGTTCTAGATGCAGACATTAAACAGACTAGCACTTAAATCTTGTTTTGATTTGGATCACATGACATAATCCACTGTGCTTGAAGGCAGCAGGCCAGCTCAGAAGGTCTCTTCCAGCATCTCATGGGTGCCTCTCACCAGGGCTGGTGCATTGCTGTCTTATTCTCTCAACTTCCATAGTTTGCTGTTGTATAGAGCCCATCTAGTGTAGTGGTTAAGAGCATGAGACTGGGAATCAGGCAATCTGGGTTCTAGTCCCCACTCAGCCAGGGAGCCAACCAGTCACAGACTCTCAGTCCAACCTACCTCACATGGGATAAGATTGAGGGCAGGAGGAGGTGAATGATATAAGTGACTTGGAGTCTATTGTAAGGGAAAAGCAGGATAGAAGACTAATAAAGTATGTATGTGTGCATGTGTAAAATATTTATTCTTCTAGCTTTTGTAATCTAACCAGAGAACATCTGCCACTGGACTTCTGGAAACATGAAGAAGAAAAGAAATAATTTTAAAAGTTTTTTTAATATATATACACTTTGCCTTCTGCCCCATACCTCCGGATGATATTAATACCTAATAGTTCTCACCTCTGCTCTAATTTTGTAGCAGGCCAGATGCCTATACATGTTTCCTTCGAAGTAATTCCTAAATATTCCAATGGAGTGCCAGCACTCAGAGAATGGTCATGGAGATAAATAATTTAAATATTGCTGTGCTGGAAGCAAAGGAATTCAAGAGGAAGAGTGAAAATGGCACTTGTATCATAAATCTGGTTAACACACTACCATACATCGCTTGTTTTCTCAGTCCGTAATCACTCAGGGAATGATCATGGACAATTGTATGTGTGAACTAGTTCTGGGAGAAAATGTGCTGTATGAGGTTACTGGAATGGTCTGTCTGTGATGTTAGGTCTGTGATGGCTCATTCTCACATGCAAAAGCCATTCTGCAATAGATGCACACCTGCTTCAAATAGATTTTGGGAACAACATTCCAGAATGGCCAATTCTCTGTCCCTTCTCCTCCTCCTCCTCCATTCACATATTCAAGTGACCTTTAGTATTATGAGAAAGTCAACAAGCAGGCTCCCGCAGGTACATTAATGATAGGTATATGAATTGAATCTGTGCCTTGCCAGGGTTTTTAAAAAAACCCTCTCCTCCCACTTTGTTCCGGAAGCTTCTTTGCAATCCTGCAGTGAAGCTTCCATTGGTACCAAGTAAGTAGTGGGGAAAGCAGCTTTGAAATTGCTCCCCTTCCCACCTCAGTGGTGTGGTGGGAGAAGGCAGTTTTTTAAAAGTCTCCTGCATTGTGTGGTCTTTGTTCTGACGCTTTCCTAATGAAAGTTCTTTAGACTAGTCAAAGCAGATCCATGAACTACATTCATATGTAATGTGCAGTTACATCTGTTCATTATCATGTAGTTTAGCTGCAGTACCTCCATCTTTCCTTCAGAGAAGAACCTCCAAAGTGTATTGGAAAGAAAGTGCTTGTAAAGTTTTGGATAAAGTTTTAGGACTGGTAAATAACTGGGTTTATAGATCAGATTACTGAGTGCATGAATGTCACTGGTATTGACTTAATCACCTCAGGAAAGTGAAGACTGTATTCCGTGACCCTTTTTAAAGAAACAGAGAGAACAAAGAGAATTCTTGTGGAGGAAGGGTCAGTAGCTATTTACTGAAGGAGTACACTAGAGCTTTGTTTTGTTTGCTACTCAAAAATATTACGTGCCAAAGTGCTAAGAGGTTTAACTTTCTGATGCCTCATTTCACATGTAGCTTTTAATGCTTTCCTTGGTTACATTCCCAGTTCCATAAGGCATGTGGCTCTAGATTGTTTTGCAGGAGATCAAAGTTGCAGACCTGGGCATCTTAAGAAAAAATGTCATGATATTTATTATTATTGTGATTAGTAACAGAATCAGTATTTTCTCACTAAGTTTGGAAAGTGTGAAATGAAATATCATTTGAGCTTAGTGTGGCAGGAAGGGCTGCCCCATCCTAGGAGTGTACTAATGAACTATCACAGATGTTGCACCAGTGATTCAAAAATAAAAGCTGTAGGACTTAAATGTAGATCAAAAACACTGTATACTTTACACAGTCTAATGAAAGCCAACACAATCCTGGTTCTCATTAGTATGGGAGACTTGAGTAAGAACACTTTATGAGACTCTCTCCAAGGCTTACCACATTGTCAGCTGTTGCAGATGTGCTTCAGTAATTTCTTATGTTGGTCAGCAATCTCAAATGAGCTGATGAATGGACCTGGGACCAGATTTTATCGACCTGCGCTGTGCTAGAGCACAAGAAGTAATGGACATGGTTAGAACTTTTGCAGAATCCTTGGTAAAGATTGAGTGCACAGAGTTTAAGACTATTGTTTGCTTCTAGCACATGCTACTTCGACATGTCTGTAGTCCTAAATCTGTTCCAATTTACTCTCATGTGAATCTGCACATTTTTAAAGCTGTATTTAAAGATTTTGTTTAAGTATTTTTATGGCCTTTCTCCCAAAATATGCATGTATAACATAATTTCTCACAACGCACACAATTTGAAAGACATTGTGGTACACTTTTGAGATGAGATGTGCATTGAAACATTTGGGAAGTGAGAAAGCCAATGGACAGCGCTAGTCTAGGAGGTGCACATCACGTTAGTTCATGCCAAAATTCATAAAGTTTGAGCATCCCCAGGTAGCGACCTTGGACTATGCAGGCCTCGGCTGTTGGTGAGTCAGCAATAGGTAGAACTGCATCCATAAGAGAAGCAACAAGAGAAACCACCATCAGTTGTGGTCCTGTGTGGACACTTTGTGTTTCATTCTTGCACAACAATGAAATCACTACTGTTCCTGGTTTCATCTTCTGCCAGGATCCCTTAGAATCATGTCCTTCACATGGAACTCTTGGGTACCTACCTTAAATTCTTGTTCTAGAGATGTACTCTAGAAGTATTTATAACACAGCCCAATTCTGTGCGAAGACATAATATCGGAATGTAGCTCTGAAGTAATTCGGGGGTAAAATGTGCACCTTTTTCTGTTATTCTTTTTTTTCTCTTCAGAATCAAGCATTTAAAAAAATGACAAAACCCAGATAAACATGGAAGCGTTACAAAATTAAATTCAGAGAATGGGGAAAACACAGTCATTTCACAGGAAAACATCTCATTTAGCTCTAGCTGATTTACATCTTAGAAATATGTGATTGAATGAATTTCAATTTTTAATTGATCCTGGCCCGCCATGACGTTGTTGTTGTTACAGTATTGTTACATTTATGTCCCTCCATTTTTCTTCTTGTGAGGAGCCCAAGTCAGCTTACTCCATTTTATCCTCACAGCAACCTTGTGAGTTAGGCTAGGCTAAGAGTGAGCGGCTGACCCAAAGTTACCCATGAACATCAAGGCCAAGCGGGGACTAGAACCTGGATGTGCTAGGTCCTCAGTCTAGCACTTTAGCCGCCATACCATGCTTGCTCTCATGTAACATGTGAGGTTCCCCTTGATTAGATTAAGATATGATGTGTTTTAAATGGTCCAGCTGTAAATAATAATTTCCATTAAGACAACTGTGCTCTTTTGATGAAGGGATAAAGCTATTCCAGATGCTTCATGAGTATGGCTGGCTATTTAAGTGTAAGAGTAATGCACTTTCATTTTGAGAATGATTTCATTCTTGCTTAAGTTGCTGATGGTCCTCCTAAATCTTTGCCATTTCCTGAATATGTGGTTATTCAGTTAACCTGGGGTTCCTCTTTCTTTTACAGAACTGCAGGAAACCAAGACCTCTCAGTTTTATGCTCTTTCCCATCACCCCTTGGACTACAGGATATTAGTGATGGATGAAGATCAGGACCGGATCTATGTTGGCAGCAAAGATCACATCCTGTCTTTAAATATTAACAATATAAGCCAGGATCCTCTGAGTGTAAGTTCACCGCTTTGGGAATCCAGGATTATCTGACTGCATGTTTCCACTTTTAAAGAGTGGAAGAAAACACTGTGTTACATCTCATTGGCAGGCAACATACTATCCCCAATGTCAGGCAATATTTTTACCCGGTGCTTTGATTTGGTGCTTTAGTGAAACAAGACTTATAGTCATTGATCCCAGCAAATGACTATAAGTCATTGCCTCTTCCCTTTCTGGCTAGGGAAGAGGCAAAAACTGGATGCAGAGCTTCTTGACTGGGCAAACGTCTGCTTAAATTGCCTGTAGAACAGAAGTAGGAGCAGCCCACCATACAACGGTCCTTCTCCTTGACTGTCCTCAGGGCTTACGCACCATTAGCTGCTACCCTCTTCTTCTCCCTGAAGAACAAAGAGTTCCTGAGGAACGGGACAGCCTGGTAGCCAGTGGAGGACTTTTGCTGAGTGGTTTTGACAGGTTGTCAGTCAAATAACAGCTGCTAGAGCTGCAGTCCCATCTCCACACTGGAAACCCAGGAATAGGTGGAAACTCCTGGATGTGGAGGGCTTTCCCCCAGTACGGGGTTGTTTTGCTGTTTAGTTGCAAAGTCGTGCCCGACCTATCAGGACCCCATGCCCTCCACCGTCTCTCAGAGTTCACCCAAGCCCACATCCACTGCCCCAGTGGCTCCATCCAGCCACCTCATCCACTGCCGTCCCCTTCTCCTTTTGCCTCCCCTTCTCCTTTTGCCCAGCACAGGGCACAGCTCTTTAAAGCTGCCCCAGGCAACCCAACAAATAACATCTCAGTTGATTTGCATAGGGGTCGGGGTGAACAAGCAGAGCATTTGTTCTCTCACATGCTTAGAAATGCTGCAAAACATCCATTTCCAAGCAAAAGCATTAACCAAGGGGGTTTAAGATGCACACAGTTCAAAACTAGGTGATGGAACAAATACCATGTGCTTGTGCTTGTTTATTTTATTACAGTTACCCTGTTGTTATCACATAATATTGAAGAATAGCATGCTATAATAAATAGGAAGGAAGGAAGGAAGGAAGGAAGGAAGGAAGGAAGGAAGGAAGGAAGGAAGGAAGGAAGGAAAGTAAGTACCCAGGAAGTGGTGTTACACCATGGTGGACTGCTGTTTCCTGGGTTATTTTAGAGAAAAAAAGACAGCAGCCTCATTACAGCCATGTTTATTGCTGTGCAATATCTTCGTGAATATCCCAGAAACTTGCCCCTCTGAAAACAGAAGGGTTTAAACAAAAACAAAAAAACACCTTCACAGCCCATGAAATTAAGTGCATCTCAATTTTCTAATGCTCACCGTCTGGAGTGTTGGGACCAAATCCGGGATGGAGACTAAAGGTGGGCCATCCCAGACCTCGTGTGTACAGGCAACTGCTCAAATGTTCCCAGGCTTGTTTCAGGTTGCTTTTCACAGTATAACCAAGGCACATACCTTCCAGCCTTTCAGATGGCAAACGGTATACTCAGAACACCTTTATTCCCCTGCCAAGTATCCCTGCCAGAGTATTCACTATTCCACATAGTTGATGGTCCTGTGTTTATTTGGTCTGCAATACCATGTCCTGTATTGACTTCTGAAGCAGGATGTGTTAGTAAACTGACCCAAACTGTTTTCTCTTGGGAAAAACAAGTTAACAGAACATTTAACCTCACAGTGAATCTGGATGTACTTAAGATCAAGTTAGTTGCAGCTCAAAACATATTCATCAGTGTTTATTGTCTGGCAATGATGTGCACATGCTAACAATGTTGTTTTAAAAGGCACCCTTAGGCTATTCTAATAAGTGGAGATGGCTAGAATGGATTGGATATGCATGTATGCAACCAGCAATACTTTGACTGTGATGGGCTTTTTATTATTATTATTATTATTGCAATGGATTTCTTGGTAAATAGGCAGCCCCTGTTTTCAAGGAAAAGGCAGCTAGCCCATTCTTCTGGCTGACTGACTGCAGTAAAAACTTTCAGACTACAGGCCTCTGGTTTCATGCACACTTCATCCCGTATCAAGGTTCTGGCTGTATGGATCTGTGGTCGTGGGATCCAATTATAGGACTTGAAATGTAACCAGGTTCCCTTCATTCAGAGCAGATGACTTCATGCTTTTTACTTACTTTCTGTGGATTTTTATGTTGCATGTGCCATCTGCAAACGAACTAAATTATGCAAGGCATTGTTGTATTTTAATACAAATGTGTACAGACCCTTATTTACAGGCTGTTAGTCATGTTGAAATCCATAGGACTAAAGTTGGATATGGTGAACTTGCCCCTTTGATTTCAGTCCAGCTTTGCATGGATTGTGGCCATAGAGAGTAAACCAGTTCCCACTGAAGTCAAGAGCAAATTTGGTTGGTTTACAATGGTATTGAATTGTACCACTGGAAAGGCTTTCCCAAATGAATGAGCCATAAGTTCGTGTTTCGGTGCGTAAGATTGTAGCTTCAGTCACTGGTATCCCTGGGTAGGGCTAGCAAAGTACCCTGCTGGAGAGCCACGGCCAGCTGGTGGAGATAATCCTGGTGGAGATACTAGCCCTGTGAGATGGACTAAATTAAAAGGTAGTGACTTGTCCAAGATTATCTCAAGAGTTCTACAAATAAACAAGGTTCTGAAGCTGAGTTTTCTCCATCCAAACCTAGTATCTAGCACTACTTGGTCTCCCCATGATAGCAGAACAACTACTGAGAGCAGTTCTCAAACCCTATGCTGTTGGTCACCTACTTTTTGGCATGAGGCATGGGAATGCTTGCAGAAGTTTCAGGACCAGAAACCCTGATCAGGCAGAGTTTATAGTCACAGATCTAATGCAAGTGCGTTCTTACGGAGCCCAAAATGCAAGAAGGTCTAAATGGAAGCTGCATGTGGTGCTTACGTTGTGTGTCTGCCTCCCTGCTCTGTTTTGTTCTGCATACAAATAGAGCTTCTATTAATACTGTTTGACGTATGTTTTGTTCATATATGGCCTGGCCTAGAGAATGTGTTCTGTAGGTCTTTAGGAGCTACTATGGAGGTTAAGGAAAGAGATGGCCCATCTCTCGAGGGCCACATGAATTAAAAACACAACAGCATGATAATTGTGCCAGGAAGGGTTATGTGACCCCCGGAACAGCAGCAGCATCCAGCCAGGTGAACTGCTGCGTTTTACCTCACCTGGTCCCCATGCAAAAAAAGCACTGCATTCTCCTCCTTCTCAATTGGGTTTCATGAGAAACATCTCCATCTGCCACCACAAGTTAGGTGCAGTGATCAGATTTAGGAATCCTTGATGATCTAGACAAGCTGATGCCCACTTTCTTGGAACCCTCGCCAGCCACCTTTGTATCTTGGCCTAAGCTGGATTCTGACCCAGGGATGCCATCCTCACTTCATCCCCAGTTATTGAAAACTACTCTACAGAATGCATGTCTAACAAAAGGAGGGTTGTGCATCTCAAGCCAGCAAAGAGTTGCCCATCACCACCCTCTGGAATTTCCCCTTCATAGGGCAACCTGTTCAACAGATGCCTGCCAGGTCCTTCACACATGGTACAAGTCAGCAGTGATATTGACAAGTCATAACCAAGGTATGATAAGATTGAAAGGTTGGACCATGAGATGATGGAGTAAACAGGGTCTGATCACCTTTATATTGGGGTAGTTTCCAGCAGAAGGTCTCCGAAGTTTGAGTAGGTGCGGATATTCTGTGTAGACGGAGTGAAGTTCCTATTCAACACTTTCACCATTCAAGCTACCCAATATCTCCTATGGCCACAATCCAAGCACATCTTGTTTCACATACTGCAACAGTTGCCCACCTCATCGGACAAAGTCTTTGGTCATCAGGTGCCTTAAGAGCAGATTACGCTAGCTATCCCTTCCTTTAAACTGCCTTAGCAGTTGTCAGCATTTTTCTGACTACCCTTATGCACAGAAATGAAGTTTCCACCATGTGGTGACTGGCTTCTTACTCAACTTTGGTCTCCTGTATAAACATGTATGGCTCCAGGCAATATCCTAATAACAGGCACAGCCACACACAGAATCTTACCACGCTCACTAATCTCCCATTCAACATCTAATTGGAAAACATGCTTTCACACTGATGGTGCTAACTTCATTAAAGAAATTAGGGATTTATTTCATGATAAATCCACTGTGCAGAATGGCTTGCTGAAACATCACAGATTGAACCAGAATGAAAATAACTGCTAACTTTATAGACACAATAAATGTAACTGTAACTCTATATATTATTGGCAGTTTACACTATCACCAGACATTAGACTGCTACAATGTGGAATATGTCCAGCAGTCATAGAAACTTACATTTACTCATTATGCATAGCAGCTGCACGTTTTTTCCTCCCCCCTCCAAAATCCTATTTTTATTGTTCTTTACTTTTTTGTGTCAGTCTAATGATGGACAGATTTGTCAATTCCATGCTTGCCAAGATTGTCAGAGGGGTTTTAGGGGGAGCTCATTTTCTCTTATTACCACACGAGTTTGCAATGTGTGTGTGTAAATTCTGTATAGCCTGAAGTGCTTGATCCTGCCTAAACTTGGAAGCTAAGCAAGGTTGGACCCAATTGAAATCTGGATGGGTGACTTAACATGTCATAGAGAGCTTCAGCTATGGGTAGTACAGAAATGCAATAATAATAGATTTGTGTGCAGCTTTAGTAATTTGCAAGTTACACGATTCTGTATGAATTTTTGAGCATTTGTAAATGTATACATTTTTAAAGAGGTGGAACACCCCTTCTGACCTCAACCTACTCAGACCCTGTGATCTGCATCTGGGGCCTTCCTCGGACTGCCGACCACCAAGGAAGGCTCAGGAAGAGGCAACAAAGGGAAGGCCTTTTCAGTGGTGACCACCTTAATGTGAAATGGACTCCTAACGGAGGCCTGCCTTGGAACTGCGGCCTGCTTGGCAGCAACACTGTCATCTTTTCAACATCAGGTCAAAACTGCCTTGCATTCCCAGGCATTTAATGACATACGATGGGTTCTGTCTGCTGTTTTAATTAGGTTTAGTTTTTAATGGACGTTTTAGATGTTAAACTATTTTATTTTTTATATATTGGAATTTTAACTTTAAAATGTGCACACTGGAATTTTATGCTGTGTTTATTGTTGTGACCTGCCTGGAGAACTAAAGCTATTGGGCAGTATGGAAAGTAAATAAATAAAGTGTGTTTGTGCATATCTGGGAAATCTATGGATTCCTGGTCACAAATTGTGTGCAGCTCTGAGTTCAGATCTGGGAGATGGGAACTGAGCAAATCACTCCTAGACAGAGAAAATTTATCATGAGTCCCTTTAAGAATGTTCTCTCATTTCTTTGCAAGGCTTCTCCTTTCCTTCAGAACAGCTTTCTGTTTCATTCTAAGCAGAATTTTGCCCAAGCAAATCTAGATGAAATTTGGTAGCAGCAATAAACTAGGGATAGATGAATCTGATAGTTTTGCTTTCCTTGGTATTCAGTTTTTCATATCTTGATTTCTTTTCTCCTTATATATGAAATAATTGTGAAATTCTTAAAATAAATGAATGGAAATAAAATGCTCAGCCATCAATGCTAGCCAAATTGAAAAAGCATGGCTGTGATATAGAAGACCATAGTCCTTGCCTGCTATGTAGCCATTAAAAATGAGCTATTAAAAATAGTTCATCACCTCGCATATGGCTAAATACACCCGGGCGGTGGGTGTTCACACCACGAGACAAGCAATGCTGCTTTTTACCTTTTTGGACTGTGGTGTCCTCTGAACCCCAGTGTAGTATTTCAGTGTGGTAAGCTTGGCTCTGAGATATGGATGGGTGAGAAATCTGTTTGCGGGTAGGAATCCATCAGATTCCCTGGCCTGGGCTCTCCAGCCACTTTGCAGAGGCTCTGTGTGCACATTCCTGGTGAGCCTGGTCAGCATTTGTGGGGCACTCATCAGGAACTGAGCCCCACATGACTGCTAGCAGGGTCCCTCTTTTGTGCCGCATCTAGCAGCGACTTAGTCTGCTGCAACTGATACAGATGACGCGTGATCACTCGGGGCTCCCCAGGAACAGAGCCCCAAGCCCTTATGAATCACCTGTAGCAGAAGAACGTTGATCATCTGCAGCTCCCCAGGAACGGAGCCCTGTGTCTCTCTCTTCCATACCAGAAAGAAGCAGCTGCACCCAGCAGATTCCATTCGGATCTTTTGCATGCACCAGAATTCGTGCAAACAAGCCTGCAACAGGGGCAAGAAGCAGCTGGGTGACAGCAGGGACTGTGCACTGCAGTGTATTCCCTCACTTTGCAGGCTCTGTCTTGGGAATGTCTCTCTTAAAAATCGACTGAGAAAGGGGGACCAGAATGGTGACCCCCTCATTGCTTCACTCTGGCGTGGGGGAATCCATTGGTGGTGTCCCTCCTTTCCGCAGCGCTGCCCAGCTGCTTCCTTGCAAGAGTGTACAATGGAAAGCTCCTACTGAAGAAATCTCAGCTTAACTCACTGCTGAGGCATTAGGCAACTTAGACTACAGTCTCAACCGACTTCCCTGAAAGTAAGCTAACTTACCCAAACTCAGAATTACCTCTGAGTGGCCCTAGAGGACTGCCAAGCTTGTACCGCTCAGCTTTAGTATGTGCATATCTGTGCAGGCACACACCGCACCCTACAATATGGCAAACACATTTGCTCATGTGCTTTAGGAAGTTGATGCAAGGCAGATTTCCCCCAGCCTGGTGCTCCCCAGATACATGGGACTGAAATTCCTCCCATTTCCAGCCAACATGGCCAGTGATGCTAGGCTGGAACAAGCTGGTAGGATTGCTGGGCTAATGTAAGTGAAGTCAATGGAATCCTCCAAAAGCAAGGGAGAAATCCTAAAGCACCATATCTTAAGGCCACATTTTAGAGCATAAGTGTTGTACTACAGGTAGACAAGGCCCCCTACAGAACGATAAGCTTTACCAGCCGTGTGAAGTGTAGTGTTCACCTTTCTGTTACTTAAAAACATGTTTTTCTATTGACCAAACTAGAGATGAGTTGAATGTTGTTCTGAATTTGGGTGTGTCCTGGAGGATTCTTCTTCTGCAGCTGAGATGTTTATCAAGAAATTAGTGCAATCTCTTGGGTTTACTTCAGCTGGAAGCTTGACAGAACATATTTTCTTAGGAGACATTCTGCATTTCAGCTTTGGCATCCAAGAAGAAACTCTTTGTCAATAGCTTTCTCTGTTAGACTTTAGCATTTTGCACTGTTGACCTGGACTGATGAACACTTACAAGAAAATATCTTTGATTATCCTGATTGGTCTTCAGTTCCCTCATAACAAGACCAAAAGTCAAAGGTTTCATAGTTTTCAGGGATTTACAGTGTGGGAGGTCAATCACCCTAAGGAGGGATTTGCAGTTCCTTCACTACATCCTTCAAGCTGAGTTTCTTGTGAATATCTTACAATCAGTGCAGCAAATTGTAGGGAATTGTGGGAGTTGAAAAACAATTCTGGAAGGCCACAGCTTTACCATTGCCAACATGAGCTGACCAAACCACACCCTCCCAATTAGTACATTAGTGGCCTGCATCTCTTCTCAGTTATAGAGAGGACTATTCATTTGCAGTGTTCTTCTGAGGTTCTGTGCACAGGACAGGACCTGATTATGGAGTCAGAATGAGCCATAGTTGCCGAGTTTTGGCAGGCCTTAAAGACGTGGATTCGAAGAGTTTAAAGGCTGCATTCTATGCTCTGGACATTTATGCTTAGTTTCAAACTACACATAATCCTAAGGGCCCTTTTGGACAGAAAGGTGATGTAGAAGTATTTTCATTCATAACTATCAAGGCTATGTTGTAGTATGTTTGTGAGTGATGCACTTTTGGAAGGATCAGCTTTTGAAGACCTTAAAAGGGCTTGCAACCCATACAGTTTTAATCTCCCAATATCTTTGATTTACATTTTATACAGTCTTTGGGCAGGAAAGATTAACTGGTCCAGTCCCCTAAAAATGTTCAAATCTAATCACTTCTTTGACTTTCCTATGCATGTTTTAACTAGGCAGGACTTCTATGCGGTAGCTAAAATTCAGCATCACCTGAGTGTATGCAATGCCATTATCTTTTCTAAAAGTGTCAGGGATCTTATAAAATTTCTTGTTAACTTTCCTTGAAATTCCTGAAGATCTTTAAATTTCAAAGGAACCTCCCAATTTTGCTGTGGTGACATGGTCAGATGTCTTACTTACATTTAAGGAGGTTCACAATAGTCTGCTTCACCCGCCTACCAGGCAAGGAACAGGATTCTTCCCCGTGGTGCATGTGACAAGCAGGAATTATGTGAGCTTCACGTCTGCAGTGTGTGATCATCTATTATCTCAGTTTTCACAGAAGATACCTTTATACAAGTAGAAGGCCAACTCTGTTGCAGGCATAAGGTCATTTCATACACTTTCTCCTCTCCACTCTTCTAACGAGTTGGAAAGATGTCAAAAATTGGTTCTCTACCCATATTCGTGCCTTACACTTCTATTGCAGAAGAATAGAGATGTGTGAGGAATCCACTCCGACTATTATTTTAATGAATTTCTCCAATGGTATCACCCAAATTTAGATGCAAACTGGACACATTTTGCATTTCTGGAATTGTGATTGTTCCCAACAGCACTCACTGCCAGATCATGCAGACTCTTTACTTGGTTCTATAAAGATTGAAAGAATGTGTTTTCTAATTTGAAAATAAAATCAAACAGAATTTATTTCCATTCAAAAACAAACAAACAGAACCTGGCAGGGCTATGCAGCGCAAGATGGGAGCATGCAAACAAGTTAAGAGTTTGCATTTTGGTGAGTGTGCAAAAAGCTCTGTTATGCTTTTCTGTTGATTACACCTAGCTATAATCAGATGAATAAGTGTTAGGGCAGGTCCTCTGCCTATATATGTCTTCATAATGGCACAGACCTGCAAGGACCTGCACCCATTTGACATGACAAATACAGCCATTAACTTTAAAGTGCTGCATTCTGAAATGCTCTAATTTAGAACAGCTTGCAGTTCCATAATATATTTGGAGCACATTTTTCAAACTGATGCTGAACTCGCCCAACATGGTGGGAGGGGAGCTTAGCCCCTTGGCAGGGTTTCTCCATAAGAAACATTTGGAAGAAATACGTTCTGCAGCAAAACGGATCTACAAAAATATTGACCTTGTGAGTTTAGGCATGCCTTGAAGGGAGTGTGGTAGCTTGAAAACAGTGGAAATAATAATTTCTCCCCACTCTTGTAAATATGCATTTAATATTACGCAACCCATTTTAATTTTTTTTGTGTTTTGTTTCCACACAGATTTTCTGGCCAGCATCAACGACCAAAGTTGACGAGTGCAAAATGGCTGGCAAAGATCCCACAGTAAGCATTTCATTATTTCTTTTAATTAAAGATTTGGCCACTGAGACAGCGCACTTGGGCACAGCCAGAAGTAATGACGACGAAGTGTATTTTCTTTTAATACTCTGCAGGCTGAGTGGTGCTGCAAAATTCTGAAGCAAACAAGATTTTTTCACAGGCTGTTGTCTGGAAAAATGAGCACACTACTTATGTGCAGGATCAGAGGTGTTTTTCTTGTTTAACCCCCAAACCTAGTTCTTGCTTACCTTGTTGCTAGTGATGGATATCATTAATAATGCTAACTCTGCATATCTCCTAGAGAATATATTGCAGACTGCTGAGCTAACGCTAATGTAAGTGCCTGGACAGGCTCCCAGGCAGTATATGTGTCCTTTCATATGGGGAAAAAAGTCCCTGTACATTCCAACAGCACTTACTGCTCGATCATAAAGACTCTTTTATTGGTTCTATAAACCAACATTTTGAACAGATGCCTGAAAAAGAGCAGAACTTCCTTAAACTAGGTAAATGTGGCACAGCTATTATTGGAGTTGAAACAAGAATCCTGCAAAATAACCCATCTGTTAAGCCAATTACCCATTACATCTCCTGTTTCTGAAGCAATTCTTGAACAAATCAGCCAAGCACTTGTGGCCTAGTCATGATCTGACTGTAGCGTACCTCACCTTGGGCATTCTTCAAAAGGCCCGTAAGATACCGCATTACCAGTAATACTGACATAAATGATGGCAGGACACCAATGAAGCTCTATGGTGAAGTCCCACTAAAAAGATCGGGATGAAAAATCTAGACCTTCTTGGTGATATCACCCTACTTGTGAAGATCCATGCCCAGAGAAGTTTACTAAATAGTATCTATTACTTTAGATTCCTTTAAAATGTTTTTAGTTGGCAAGATATTTGATGATATTGACTGGATGCAATTTAATCCTGTTGTGATCTTTGAACTGAGTTCATCTGCTTTCCTGTTGGTAGCATTTTATACTGATCTCATTTTTGATTATGAGTTGTAAGCATTCCAGAAGATTCCTTTGGTACTCAAAGGTGAGCTAAACATTATACACTGGTACATATGAGGGTTACTATATCAAATATTGTTTGCCAGTGGCCAAATCAGGCATGCAATTTCCAATCCTAACTAAATAATAGCAGTATTGCCCTATGCTATGTAACAATTTATTTGGACATAGACATATAATTAAAAGTATATCTGAATATATCACATACATTTTGCAGGTCCATCTTATCTTGATTTACACTTTCCAGGGGAAGAAAATATTGGATCAGCAGAGCATAACTGAGTACAGGATTTTCCATTAAGATGTCACTAGTAATGGATTCAAGTGATTTTGGCTAATTAAATTAGAGTAAAAATTGTGGTGTGGTGTCTGCTTCCTTTAGCAGAAGTCTGTAGCCCTCTAATAATACATCACACATGCTAAGGATTGGTACTGCATCAGTACGCCTTCTTACTATGCAAAGTGCCAGTCACTTTGTACTAGACTGAAGCAAGCATTAAATAAAAATGTTTATTTCCGTATAGCAAAATGTTGTTCATCACTAAAAGCCATCAATGTAAAAGTGAGAGTGATGGTTGGCCAAAGTTTAAATGATACTTAGGTCACAATCCTATGTGTGCTTACCTGGGAGTAAGTCCCTTCAAATGAGTGAGTCTTATTTGCAAGTAGACAGGCTTTTATCACAGTAGTCACTACATGGGAATAACCTACACTGCTTAACTTGCTTATTTTCCAGTAAGCTTCCATGGATTATAATGTTAGGCACTCTTCTTTTTTTAAAAGGCACCATAATTTAGGAAATTATTGCCATTTCCCGCATTTCTTTTTATTGGACTGTACTCATCACAGAATCACAATGTTGCTGATTTTGCAAACAGTTTGTATTTTAGCTGCTTGGCAACAATCCTTGGCAATGTTGTAACCTGAAGGTATTAGTAATGTTATCCCACCAAACTTCAAGAGAGGTCTTCAACTCCCCAGAATATCTGAAGTATTCGTGGGTTGAATGTTCCACCTACCTGAAAGCCAGCAGTTACCAAATTCTGCTGAATTTCAGTCAACAGTAGAATCAGTTTATGGAGCAAATACAACCTCTCATTGTGAGGGAACCAAGATAAAATTGATGTGGCAAAAACACTTTGTGCAGTCTTCACCACATCCAAGAGAGGATAGGAGAATCAAATCTTAGGCAAGTGCAACCAGAACTTTAACAAGTGTCCCTCTTCTGAAGTTTGGCATATCCCGAAAAGCTGTAATTAATTGTTTAAACTCTGCAAAAGAGTTAAAGCTCTTTTCTTCTGTGGATCCAAAACAGAGGTTCAGAAGCTTGCTGAGTATACATAATGTTCAATATTAACTCTTTTTCATGAAAATTGCATATTTGGTGTTGGGGATTAGTATCCCAATTAGGAAGCATGCTTGTGAAGAACTTAGCATATGGGTTTGTTTGCAGAAATCTACTGGGGTGCAGTGCTGAGAAAATACTTGCTTATAGAAGTCTGGGCTATTCATCAGGCAAGGTTACTCTGTAAGCATCTTTCCAGCTGTGTGAAGTACCACCAGCCGTTGCTGTAGCCTTTTATGGGATGTCGTGTAAACAGGTGTCATGGGAAAATGGAATGCTATGTGGAATGGAACATGAATGTTTATCAGTGATAAGTGCTTTATCTGCACACAAATCTGAGTGACATTCGTGTATGTGGCCTATGATGGCAGAACATGGTCTTCCATAACATCACATCTGGAAAGGAAACATCTGTGTGGAAAGTGCACCAGCAGGCACTGCTCAGAGACCCAAAGGGTAGAATGAACAAAAGAATGAAAGAATGGCAGGAGGGAAAGAGGGAAGTACACAGAGCAGCCTAAACCCATGATTACTTTCTCCATTTGGAAAATCTTGTCACATGTTGAAAGCAGGCTAAATGTTTTGCGTCTGCCGGGGCTCTTGCTACATGCACGTCAGGTTTCAGTGTTGTTAGGGGGAAGCTGTCTAGACAAGTAAGAAAGGGCTACATTTTGCTGACTGCTTCCACCTTTGAAACAACAGCAGACCAAGAAGTGAAAGGGAAAGGCTTTAGAAAAGCAATGCTTTGGGGACTAATACACTTAATGACATTCTTTCTTTATGCTGCTTGAATCCTGCTTCAACCAAAACAGTTCTTCTGAGAAGAAAGCTGCAGTGTACAAGTCTTACTGTGGAAAAGTCATGGGGTGGGCAGAAGGTATTTCACCAGATGCTTTGGGCTCCAGTTCCCAGCATACCTGCTGGTATTCTGGAGTTGAAGTCCAATATTTCTGTGTATGTGAGTGTGAGTGTGAGTGCCTGTGAATATAATGCAGTATGATCCATAGTATGCTTTGTATCCTGCCACACATGTCCTATTACCATCTGAGCAGCCATCATCTTATGAACAAGGAAAGCGTTTTCAGTTGAAACTGCACCCAGGCACAGCACTGCGAGGTGTGGCTGCTGGCTCCACATTTGTCCTGCAGGTGGGTCACCCAAGCCAGAACTATCCTAGAAAGGCCCCCTGCTATTTGCTAATGCACCCGACCCATCCGGCAAGGTGATAAACACAGAAAAAAGCAGGCAGGATGGAATGCAGAGCAGAAGGGGAACAGCAGTGGCTGGTGACACTGGAAAGAGGGAAGGAGCCACAGGCATTCCAGTTACAGCCCTTTATACCCAGTACTAGTCTAAATGTTCTGCAGTGTTTGTCTGCTGGTCTATCAGCATTTGATTTGCTCTCTCTTTCCCCAGCACGGTTGTGGGAATTTTGTCCGGGTGATCCAGACTTTCAACCGCACTCACCTCTACGTTTGTGGGAGTGGAGCCTTCAGCCCTGTGTGTACCTACCTCAACAGAGGGCGAAGGTCTGAGGTAAGAGCTTGATCTGAAAAGGGGTTACCTCCCCCCAGTTTTTTTGCCTATGGTTTTTATCATGTCCACCAGAGCTAGTTGTTTCACAGGTCAATGCAAATCATTTCACTTAACTTTGTGTACCTCACTGAGGTCCAAAGAATCAGACTGCTGGCTACTATTTCATGCCCATGAGGAATTTGGGCTTGTGTAGAAGGCCTTCTCCATAACATTTGACCAAATGCTTTTGAAAGGATCAAGGATTTAAGAGTATAGCTGTCTTGGAAATCTATTAATCTATATATCAGTCATTTGCCTGCTACTATACCAGTGCATCAATGAATAATAATGCATAATACAACTAATAATGTCCTATTATGTGTATTAATTATTATTAGTAAAACAACTACCATGACTAATTACTATTACTACTATTATCATCCATATTTGCATTTGTCCTTCCTCCAAGGAGCTTCTAAAGCTGTGGCTGATACCACTTTGTAAATATAACAGTCTTTAGAGGTGGTTTCTGGCACATGGAGCTTCATGATTCAAGGAAACATGTATTCTAATCGTCACTGAAGCACATCTAAGAGTATACCAACTTGTGACCCACCAAACTGAACAGTTAGTTAATAACGTAGCGTTGCCTATGAAGAACTTAACATCACAGATTTGCTTAGTCCCAGCCCAGCATAAGAACAGAAAGATTATCATTAGACACCCACGATTTGTGACCTGTACCACAAGTTGTGTGGTCTTGCTCTTTCCTCTTGACCCCAAGCATTGCAAACTTACGAGTTACATAGCAAATCGAGAGCAGCATCTGCATCAGGTTTTTCCAAGCAAAAATTTTCCAGAAAAATGTCTACTTTTTGAATAGTAAAGAATCCCTGAAAACTACCAAGCAGAGCATTAATTACATTTGCTTAGACCTGTTCACAGCTCCAATCTGAATATTTTAAAGAACATTTAAGCAGCTTCTTTCTTTTTCAGAGCCAGATCCCAGCCAGTCAGGGATCACATAATGAATGTGATCACATCCTAGTCCATAGAACTTGTTAGATTTCCTAAAATGGCAGCCAGATGAAGAGCACAGAGAGCCAGACACTTTGCTTTTAGTCCATGTGTGCTGGTCTTGGTTAGAGGAAGGACAGATCCATTTGGTTCAAGCTCCCAGTGGATGGTCTCTCTCTTCCAGTGCTGCTTTTTGGTGGTTGAATTGCCCTACTCTCCCTTACTATTATGCAGCAAGAGTGACTGGGCTATCTGGGCAAAGAAGGCATTTTCTCTTCCCCACTGGACCGGCATACATCTTTACTTCTTTCACTGTACACTTGCAAAACTTGCCAAAAAGGGTGTGAGTGGTTCTCACTGGGACACAAAATGCTCACCATGTGCACCGCACTCTCTCATTATCTCTCAGAACTAATCTGAAAGCTTGTTTCATCTTGAAAGAAACCTTCAAGGTATTCTTCAACAACCACCCCCCACCCCCATATAACATAAGGAGAAATGCTTGATTGTTTTAGAGAGCCGACATAAACGTGACATCGATTAATTTACAGTCAATTGCTAGACTGCAAGAAGAAGCAGAAATATGTTGTTTTAAAACTGTAAAATAAAGAGACGTGTCTTAAGCATACTGGAATTAGCTTCACCCAGCCTGTCTCTTTTAGCCACATGCCTGTGATCAATTGATCAAATAAACTGCTGTCTCAGTCGTCTGGAGTTTGTTAGACACTTGACTTGAGGCCTCACACTTACATTGCTGCTATTGTGCAGGCCAACAATAGCAAAAGCTTCAAGTGTCAAGATTTCACGCACATTCCCTCCCCCTCTTTGATCCTCTTGCAGCTGTACGAAGTCACTGGCCCAAGTGTGTGCATTTACATTTTGCATCTCACGCAAAAGCCTAGTGAGAATTTGCACTGCTTATTGACAAGCAATACCTTTTCTAATCTCACTTTTCAGCTTGCCATTGCTCGGCCAAAAGGCCGTTTGGGCAGATGGAAAGGAAATGAAGAGGGAAAGAAAGAAAGACAATTTATTTGGGTCCGGTCCTGCTCAGCTGTGATCTCATATGGTCATAAATGTGACTCCATGTGATAGTTGGCAATATTCAAAGCTGGGCTAGAATAGGCTAGGCCTGTATTGTTTCCAATTAGCCCACATCTCTTGATTGAGCAGGGTCTTTTCAGTTGTGGTACCCTGGATAAAGATTGCCCTCTGCAGGCAGTCTTGGCTGGCACCAACTCCTTTATTGCTTATCCGGCATGAAATGACCTTAATTCAGCATGTCATGCACAGTGTCTAGGTGGCCATAAGATTTTTTGTAGTCCCAGCTATGAGGTCAGAAAATTCCTCTGAAATCAAGAGGTGGGACTCGGAGCCCAGGCCTCCTCCCACCACATTTGCAGCCAGCAGAGAAAGAAGCGTACTGGGTGGTTTTCCAGAGATGGGGGTGATTGACATTCCAGGATTGATGGAGGGGCCTGACTGGTGTGACCGAGACATGATGTAGCCTGGTGGTTTTTCCGTCGCCTTCCCCTTTGCTCCAAGGCAAGCTGACCAAGAGTTTTGCGGGGCAGGAGGAGTGCAAAAATGACCTTCACCTCCACTCTTCTGTGATGCATAGGATAACACTGATCCTCGGGACTTGGAGAGCTAGCCAACGAGCATCTGGATTGGATTGTGCCTTGAATGGAAATGGGTAGCTGATGCATTTATTAGCCTGTTTCTCCAAATTTAGGTTGCCTTCGTATTGGTGGTGGTGCTTAAATAATTTCTATTAGATTTTTAAAACATATTTTGTAAGAATCAACCAGTTTGTAACCAACTTGGGGTATTTTAATAGAAAAGCAGTATATACATATTTTAAATTATAGCTACCACGTGCGGTTCATTACCACAACTGTATGGATGGGCACAAACCTAGAAGGCTTTTTAAAAGATTTTATGAATTTGAGGAAAGAACCTCTAAATTCCACATTCCAAGGCTTGTGAAGCTTCCCAGAAGCAAATTGCTGACCAGACTTACACAGAGAATACTTTATTATGGACTTTTGGTATGATTGTGCAAGATGGTTCTTATAATAAGAAGCACCTTTTTCAAGGGTGCTTCTAGATGTTTTAAACTACATCTTCCATCAGGTTCACCAATGGTAAGGGAAGATAGGAGATATGGAAGACTGCACTTAGCTCTAGATGGAGCACCCGCAAAAAGGTCTTTAAAAAAAAAAAATGGAACCCAATGTTTCCATTCATACGAGTAGCCCATGTGGTCAGTGTTGAAGTTGTACATGGGAAATGGGGTTTTAAATCCTGGAAGGCCTAGGCAGTCTGAGAAGGGCTGATTCCACAAATTTCAGCCGCAGGAGTACTTCTGAGTATACAGCAGTGTTTCCTGCAGTAAATACCCAAAGTGTGGAAGGGAAAGACCATTTCTAACTTTTGCTTTATCAGTCCATTACTGGGCTGGCTTCCATAGCTTATGCATGCATACTAGAAATATAAGCTTCTGCTTCCTGCAGACGAGACTAACCCCTAGCCATTTCCAGGCTTTACATCATATGGGACTCAAAGAAAAGTCTGTGCCATATACTTCCATCCAGAATTGTACAAGTTTGCCTGGGCACCAATGGTGCCTTCCCTTTTGGGATTCAGTCTCTCCCTTCTCTTAGGCATTTCCTATTATCTCCATTTTATTATTAAACAGGGTTATCCCTCCCATTATGCAGAGTGAGGCAGCAACAACTGCGTTGGGGTGACTTGAAAGGGCAGCAAATTGTTAGTTGTTGGATGCATTTTTATTGTATTTGTACTTCAACAGAGAGGCACTGCCATGATTTTATGCCTTAAAAGCCAAAATAACTTCTTCAGCCTTAGATCATGTGCACCTTGCAATGGGAAGGGTAACATACACTGTTCGCTATTCCACCTTGGGTTGCAAAATCAAAGCCAAAGAATAAAAATGTTTGCAAATATGAGCTCTGACCTAAAGAATGGGAAAAATCTTTCAGAAAGATGCCACCAAAAAGAGGAGGGAGGGGAGGGACTTAGCCTATAAGATGCCATGAGATGTTTTGCTTTTTATGCAGGAAAAGAGAATATTGTTGCTGTTTGTAAGATAGCTCTATGTTTTAGCCATTTTTTCACAGGATGCACCATCCAAATCTGGCCCTTCATTCATCCTTCTGTTCATGTCACATGTTCTTTCTGTGTTACAGGAACAAGTTTTCAAAATCGATTCCAAATGCGAATCTGGGAAAGGGCGCTGTTCTTTCAATCCTAATGTGAATACCGTCTCTGTTATGATCAGTAAGTGAAAACAACTAGAAATGTTGCAAGCTTAGATCATTTTGAGCTGAGAGTGAAATAATTGGGTATTGTAAGCTAATCAAGCCACAAAGTAAGACAAGGAACTGGAAAGAGTTATCTGTCAGTGACTTTTACTTCCACTTCCACTCTTGTCATAGTTCAGGGAAGTGGTCCCTTCTAGAACATTGCCATAATTGTGGTTTACCTTCATGAAGACACGGTTGCTAAATTCAGCAAGAATCTTAAAATTTTCATTAGGTCTCTGTCAGAGTACATAATATATAAACTCCTATGATCTTTGTAGTAATCTATTTCCTGTCTTTAAATTTCTTTGTTTTGAGATCTTTTAACATATTTTTCCAACTTTATAAACTAATGATTTCTTTTGTTAAAAAAATGTAATGCTGTAGAAAGGAGACTTGAATAATTATTAGATTTGACTGATTCATGAGGTTTGAATATTGTAATAAATGAAAAGAGTTCAATTTCAGAATAGTGCAGGTATATAATACTAAGTGTGTGTGTGTGTGTGTGTGTGTATTTAAGAAAGAAAGTTTAAAATTTCGATTTAAAGAAAAAGCAACATAGAGGTGGAAGGTGGACCTGGAAATTGATTTGGATTTGGAATCTATTAAGAAAGACTACTCAAGGAGAGAATCCCCTTCCTTTGCACCCATCATAGAAATAAAAGGGCTGGTGGAGGAGTAATGAAGCCAAGTTAGCAGGCTAGCAGTTTTGGGAAGGGTTGATAGTATTTTTTTTTGCAAGACTGCATCAGTTTATTGTCATGCATTGTATTTGGGACAGCCTTTGGAAAAGTAATCAGAAGGACTCACTACAGAGTGTGTTTGACAATGGCTTAACTCAGATTTTTATGATGTTGTTCATTTCCAAATCCATTCTGGGCCACAGACAAAGATCTGGTCCTGACCTTTTGACCAAATCCCCTACAAGATTACAAGATTTTCCTAAAGAAACTGACCTGGACATGAAGATCTTTATCAGAATCCCTGCTTTTTGCTTCCTCACCATCTGAACCTCAGTGAGTGACTATTAATTAGGACAGGATCTTTTCAGAAGAACACTGAGATGATGGACTGTCCTCCCCATGGAAGTTCTCCCTACTTCATCATTATTGGCCTTTTAGACCAGCCAAATGTGTTTTAATTCCAGACAGCTTTGGAGGCTCTTTTCTGCTGGTTTTCTGCCACTAACTTGTGTGCACTCTATTTTAGCTGTTCAAATTGTCTTTATATAATTGATATTCAGCTTGTGTAGTAGGAAGCAATCCTCTTCTCACAATTAAGATCAAACTGGATAAAGCTGGATTAGTACATAAATTCTAGTTGATTTGGCATTCAAAATAACCACATCCTGTTTATTTGTTTAATTGTATGTTGTCACACCTACCTTTTACCTCAGCATGCATGGAAACTGATAAAAGAGCCTTGTAAACTGTCCATCTATTAAAACAAAAGCTGAGGGTAAAATTGGACCATCTGCACCATAACTACTCCAGTTTTCCAAGCAAGAAATGAAAGAAATTTTATTTTGGAATGAAAGCATATTGTTAAGAAATCACACTGTGGGTTGAATTTCATCCTGAATGCATTAGTTGTGCTCATTTGATGTTTCTTTTTAATTTGCTCTCTGGTTCTTCACATAAATGAAGGGGTGAGGTGGCCAAGTTGGCGGGTGGCACCAAATAGCTCAGAAAGGGATTGCAAAGAGCTCCAAAATGATCTCTATGGAATCATAGCAGAGAACTGGAGCGACTCCTTTATGAGGAAGGGCGCCAGTGTTTTTATTCTATTATTGTTGTATATTGGGCAGTGCAATGCTGTGTCCACTGCACTGTCTGGACAGCCATTGGCTTTCTCAGATTCCCAACTATGAGGATCAAAAGTCACTCTGAGTCCATATCTGGGAATCTCCCTTTTCTGTGCCAGCTGCTTCTCTGAGAACAGAAGAGCAACCACTGGGAAGAGCTTTCTCAGGTGGGGAGGAGATACGATGTTTCTGGACAGCTCCTTGGCTGCCTTTCCCACTGCTCTGAAGTGCCACAGTAAGATGGCTGAAATCGGCCATCTAAGCAGAACAAGATGAGTGCAGAGGCAAGCTTGGCTCCTTCTCTTCTCCTGCCCTCTGTAGGATGCCTATAATCTATGAGTTTGGAGGGATACAGGCATCCCCATATGACCTCTGTCTGTTTCACTATTGTTTTAAACAATTATTTCATTAGTGTCTTCACTTCACTTGAGAGCCATTTTCTTGATAAAAGGTGGTGCACAAATCAGATGAATAAATGTGGGGTTGGTGTGTTTGAGCTTTTAAAAAGTGGTTTTATGGGGATATGATGGAGGTTTATAAAGTGATGCATGGAGTGAAGCGAGTCGATAGAAAATGTTCTCCCCTTTCCATTTTGCCAAGACCCAACCTATCCCAAGAGGCTGAATAACAGAAGATTCAGGAGAGCTGAAAAGAAGTGCTTCTTCACATGGCTGCTCATTCAGCAAGATGAATCCAAGGATACCTACTTGGATGGCTTTCAAAGCGGATTAGACAAATTCATGGAGGAGGAGGCTATCAATGGCTCCCAGTACCTCCAGTCTCAAAGGCAACATGTCTTTGGGTTTCATAGGTCTTTGGCCTGATCCAGCATATTTCTTACATAATTGGCAGGCGTTCTTCAGGGCTGTGCCAGCTGCCTGCCTGGAATCAGATGCCTTCCTGTAGAGCACTGCTGCCATTTGACTGGTGGAGGCTGGCAGCCGCTGCCTTTCCTATACATGCAAAGTCCCACACACTTCGCACCATCCTTGGGAAGGCCAGTGGGTTCATGAGCCTGTATCTAATGCCAGTGTCACAAAGCCAGCAGCATGGCGTGCTGGTGTTCCTTGCCAAAGGGGAAAGCAGCCGCTGTCTAGATTTTTCTCTGACTGACCTGAAGCAAGGGAAGAATGCCACTGACCTTAGTGCATGGGTTTTGCAGCCAAAAACAAAATGCAGCAGCGAGTTAGTCCTTTGGTTTCAACATAACAAGTCTTGGAACTTGAATTCTTCTCATCCCACCAAGATCAACAGGTCTTTGGCAGCTGGGAGAGGATGGTTTACTTAACCTCTGTCCTGGGTTGTGAAAGGAACATTTTAGAAAAAGAAGAAAGGCACATGTGTGTGAGAGAGAAAGAGAGGGACAATGAGAGGGAGAATGGTGGGGGGTAGGAAGGAGCAGTGTTGTACAGGGGCAGTTCTCTGTTTTCCAAGCATCTGAAAATAAGCATGTTTATTATGATAAAAACCTGGGAAGCAGGAGAAGGGAATGGATTGTAATAAACAGTTAAATGAAGCTCCAAACATTTACCAGCAACAAGATAAACTAAACAAACTGTACTAAAATCAGTGGAATCCCCACCAAAGTATTATTTTATAATAGTTTTTATCCCTGCAGTTTTTGAAAAAAAATACACAATGGTTCTCTGATATGAAAAAACACTGACCCTTCAGAATATTGTGTATTCACACTTCGCTACATTATCATCTTCTAACTTTCCATAAGCACAATGTCTTATTTGGTCCTATCTGTAAGAAAAACAGTTTTCACCTCAGGCCTGTAAAGTTATTCTACATATATTGGTCAGTCAGGTCTATTGAAGCTACGAATCTGGATCCTTGCAAACATTGGTTTGGCATACCTTCCCCTGGAATGGATTCCCTTTCCTTTTATTTGTGACTTTTTACCTGATGTGAGTACAGGTGCTAACCATGGTTAATCAGAGTCTCTCACAACCATAGATTACAAACCCAGTTCAGACCATGGTGCAGGATTCCTTTCCTTTCTTTTTGGCAAAAAGACTTAATGGTTCTTGGCTGTTCCTTTTCTTTCCCAGAAAAGATTTTAAGGTGCTACAAATGCAACTATAAGTATGTACTAGAAGAGAAGCAATGTCAAAGTGTGTGAGTTAGTTGCTGCACTCACTAAGACAAATTGTTTGGGGGAATTTAACAAGTCTCTAGGAATACTTAAGGTATAACTAATAAAACTGGTGTATAGTGGGATTAAGAACAACACAACCTCTTCCCAGTTTTAATATTGTAAAGAAAATTGGGGTATAAACATGAACCTTTTGTGAGAACCATGACCCTGATCTCTTGCAGGCCATAATGACAAGAGATTATGGAGTACTGCTTCTTAGTGTTTTAAACTGATACTATTGCTTCATGCTATTTAAAGCAATCCTTACAACAACCTCTTAGGCAATTTGTGGCCCTCCAGATTTTTTTTTTTTTTTTTTTTTTTTTGCAACCCATCCACTCTAGTCAGCATAGCTAGTGGTGAGGGATGGGGGGTTGCAGAACAAAGCATTGTGGGAGCTACAAGTTCTCTACCCCTGCACTTTGGTGGAATGGTTCATTCTGATCCTGCAGAGGGGAGACATACCAGGTTGCCTAGTTATATGCTCTTACTTCAGCACTGAAACCAATGTACTTGTGGTGAGAGTCTGCAAATTTACTTCAAGTCCTAATTTCTTATGAATGGTTCATATGGAGGCCTCGCTTAGCATTCTTTGTAGATTGTGGGGTTGACATTCTATTGATCGCTTCCATTCTTATATCTCTTTACTCTCTTGACCAGCCATGGCAAGGTCTTTTATGAATGAGTGCGAGAGGTCAGAAATGGACTATATCAAAGAGTCAGACAGGGAGAGATAGAGAGAAAGTGCAGTGCAGTGAAAATTCATTTCCATTTTGCCCATTTCCAGACAAAATCTGGATTTGGAGGAGCTGGCTTAGCATTTGCTAGTCATTCTTACTAGCCCTCCACAAGTTTATGGCAGAGGCTCCTTTTGAATCTGGATTTGAACTTCCTGATGCACAGCTCAATCTCCAGGCCTCCTTTCTGCTCCTTGCCGTCGAGGCCAATACAGTTTGATTCCACATTTCAGTATGAGCCACACACCTCCTGCATGGTGTGGTCTCATCATCAGAGCTCGTCGTCCAACCTGCCCTCTGCAGCAGCTTCTTTCTTGTTTTTATGAAAGGGAAGGCAGCTAAAGGCTAAACTTTATACTGGTTGCATCATCACTAAACATGTAGATTGTGACCTTGACAGCCGCCAACAGTACAAGAGCGTGAATAGTCTTGTGGACAAAATTTGTCTCTTATTCCTGGAAGGCCATTTCCAGCTTCAGTCAAAGTCTGCCACTGGATGGTAGTTAATTCAATAATGATGGAAAGGGGGCGGTGGCAGTGGGAGGTGGTTGCTTTTTTTTTTTTTTTTTTTTGTGCTAATGTTTTGTTTCTCGGAATTGCCTTGCTAACTATGGAATTTCAGTTCTTGGTCCCAGACAGAAAAAAAGCCCTGTAATTTGTACCTATGTGTACTGTACGCACTCCATGAAATATGAGCTGAATTCTCCAGTGCAAAAGAATTCAGGTCCATAATCCTATTATTACAAGCAAAGGTTGCATGCCTAATTCCCTTTATTGAAACATTTTGAGACTGAAATTTGCTTTGGCTCTAACTGAAAGTGCTCAGCTTTTGTGTACATTACCCTCCGTCATATTCAATAGCTTACTGAAATGTGAAGGATACCAGGGCAGATTTTCCCATAGTGCATAGGTCAGCAAGCAGAGTGCCATATTTTGAATTTGACAAGCCCTGAAGGGCCAAAGGTATTGAGTTCACCCACTGTCCATGACAGAGGAATGGAGACAAAAGATTAAAAGGCTTTGACTTTCAATTTGTTTCTGGGAATAAGTCAAAGTGCTGATTTAAAAAAAGAACATGGAAACAAAAATGAAGCAGATGGAAAAATGAACATATGAAGAGCTATGCTGAATCAGGCCTGGAGAATTTCTAGGCCAGCATTCGGTGCCCACATTGGCCAACCAGATGCCTGTGGGAAATCCACAAGAAGGACATGATTGCAATTGCACCCTTCCACTCTTGTCCCCCAGCAACTGGTATACCGAGGCAGTATCACTGCTTCTGATACTGAAGGTCATATGCAACCTTCATGACTAGTAGCCTCTGATGCCTTTCTCCACCATGCATTTGTATTTTAAAGTTGGGAACTGCTGCCCAGATACTTTCCTGACTGAGCTTGCAGACATGATCCTCATTGTGCTATTGGAAGAACCCAGAACGGCTCTGAATTGCTTTCATTTCTATGCTGAGGATGCCTGTGCAGTCTCAGCTCAGGACTTCATGGCCTCCATGAGAACCACGACACTGTATCAGTTTGCCATCAGCCCAGCACATGAAGCAGATCATACCACTGTTTTGGTCTTTTCTCCAAGTTGTAATGTGATTAATCTGAAAATTGAGTGGGTCTGGATGACCCTATTGCCATGGTTGAACCATTTCCTGGTAAGACTTGTAGTCACGGTACTCAGGAGATGGGTGGAATCCAATTAATTTCTAAATATTCTTGGGATTTTCCTGTGGAAAGAGCTGGTAACCCATCTGAGGCCTTTCACTGTGGAGTAGTGCAGTTCAGAAAGCCATTGGCTTGACTGCACCTGCCTGTTTTCTCCAGGGCTATAGCTTGCTTTGTTCCTTGGAATATTGGGAGGTTGTGGGCAATGAAGCAGGCCAGATGTCCGCCAGTGCGTAACTGGCCCAAGACTGAGCATGCTGCACAGTGCACAATCATGCCTATTGTGCTGCCACGCCGTCTCCATTTGCATCCTATCCAGAAGAGCTCTCTGAGTTGCCTGGAGGCGGATCACACTCCCCCAGCAAATGGGACCCTGATGCCTTCAGTTACCCCATATGATCTTTGTGCACCACACTTTGAGGATGACATCATCTGTGTCTGCAGACAACTTAGCACTGTTGTTAGTGCACTTCTGCTCGAGGTGCCTGACGCCACCATCTGCCCAGCTGTGTGAGATCCGGTTCAGTAGACACAGCACTTATGGGAATGCATGTGCCTTCTCGATCCTTGCCCCCTCTTGCTCACGCAGTCTGGCTCAGGGGCCTGACTGGGCTTGTTCAGGGAGTGGGGGTCACATCTCCGCATGAAGAAGTGGTTTCTGCTGTCCTTAAGGAGGCAGCATGTGGCCACTCCTGAAGAAACCCACCCGGGGCTCCTGGGTTCTTAACAGCTGCCCGGTCACTAACACTTCTTGGTTAGGAAAGGTACTTGAAAGGGTGGTGGTAGAGTTAACTGCTTTTTCTGTTTTTCATCTTTATTGTACATTGCTCTGAAATCTCCATACTGGAATATGGAGTGCAGTTTTTCTAGAGAATGCTAATTTTTAAAAATTGAATGGCTTAGGACTGGGACATTTGAAGTGGTTTGATACCGCCCCCAAGTGAGCTTGTCTGCTCATGTAGATCACCTTTACAGGTCCTTCTTTGTGTCCCATCATCCCCACTAATACTCTGTGCTGGAAATCAGGGAAGGACTTTTCTGGTGGCTGTGCCAAAACTTGGGAAGTACCTTTTGTAGAAGGCAGTCTTCCCTTTCTCCCTTTCACATGTTGGTAAACCCCTCACAGCATTTCAGCTGCAAATTGCTGGGTTGCCTATTTATACCAGCACTGAAATGCCATTAAGGTACTTTCCCCTCACTTTTTTGCTATTTGTATGGCACATAACCTGGGATGTCTTTTTCTTTTAGGAAGCAGCAGTTGATCCCTTGTGTTGCTTTTTCCATTCTCTAGAGCTGGTCTCTCACAGCTTTGACCACTAAATAGCATTTCACTTGAAAAGCTTTCTCCACATTTGTGGTTAGGCTTTCCTGTTTAATGATATGGTTGCCCAAGGGTTTCCATTAAGATGGGTTGCTCTGGTGCAGACCTGGCATTTTGTATGTGATGATTCAGAGGAAATCCTGCTCTCATTCTGCCCATTACAGAATTAGAAAATAGCCATGTATCAAACAGAAATAGGTTGCCAAAAATGATTTCCCCCCACTGAGTGCACTCACTTCCCCTTCCCCTCCCCCTTTCACTTTCTGCAGACGAAGAACTATTTTCAGGAATGTACATCGATTTCATGGGGACTGACGCTGCCATTTTCCGCAGTTTAACCCGGCGGAATGCGGTGAGGACTGACCAGCACAACTCCAAATGGCTAAGTGGTAAGATGACCATATTTAACCTCTCTAGGCTCAACAACCAACAAAATTACAGAGAAGACAACATTTTATTCATGTGGTGTTAATCTGCTGTGACATAACATCAGAAATAAAGCAAAAAGTTTATTGTGAAGGGCGGGATATGAAACCTTGGAAGGAAGGAAGGAAGGAGGGAAGGAAGGAAGGACGGACAGAAGGAAGTGCACAAGAAATGTGTGCATTTTCCTTTATTGGAGGAGTTCAAACACCATGCAAAATCTCTGGAGCCAAATCTGCTGTGACATAAACACTGTTCATATTAAACCTGCAGGACACAACTGGCCTTCTCCTTTGGTTGCAGTTACACAGAGGTGCCACTGGCAGGGGTGCTGCTTATGTGAGTGCTTCAGCCACATCTCTGCCACTGCTGCCATTGCAGTGGCTGCATATGCACCATCCACTCAACAAATGGTGCTGCCATGGAACTGAGGCCCACGCACAAGCTCAGCGGCAAATCCCCATGTGCTCCAGAGGCAATTTCACAGGGGCCCTGTGTTCACACATAACCGTGGCGAATTGTGGGCAAATTCATTAAACCATGATTTGCCGCAGCATGTGTTGGGCATCTTCCATGGCCAGTTTAGCCATTCAGACATTTGTTGGCCCAATTGGAGGTTAATTCATCATTTACAAATCCAGATATTGTGGACCAGTCAGTTGTCAGGTTCACTAGGGTTGTTCAACACTAGCACACAATGTCCAGATGCACAAGTCACAAATAAACCTCATAATTGCCCAGTTAGAGATTGATTATGCAAAATGGAAAGCACACAGCAAGAATACAGAGCAGCGAATTGTGGGTTAATTACCTTTAATTTTGCCACCATTATCTGTGAATAGGCCATTGAGTCTGAGCTGACCTTTGGATAACTTCAAGTTAAGATTACCAGGATTACCATTTATATAATGCAAAGTTATCCAAGAAATATTCAAAGGATACCAATTGTAGAATTATCAAGAATGGCAAATTGAATTCCAGTTTTTAAAAAACGGAATGCATACATTTTAAACCTGAATAAAAACATTGGAAATGAATGTGAGGTCTTTGTAGCAGAGAACATAATTTGGCTGTTGCATCTCATAGCCAAATACAACATAGCCATTGAAATTAGGATACAAATTTTGAAGATAATGTTTGATTGTAGATTCCACAAGGTTAAAGACAGATAATGGTATCTGCCTAGAGACCAATAGTATGAATTTGATCTGACTCAGGTGACTGCAACCTACAGTGCTGGCCAAACTGCAAAGCAACTGATGCTGTTCCAAGATGAGCGATTTGAGGAATGCAGATTTAAGCCTATTTTGTAAAATACCTCTCCACTAGAAGGTGATATTTTACACAAACATTTTCTCTGACTTGTAGAACTAAAGTGACAGAGAAACTGCTTTTCCAGCCTGTTAAACAGGTACCTGGAAAGCAAACTGTTTGGCTGGGACTCCTGCCTTTGAATGACTCACAGGTACAGGCAACAAATCAAACCTTTGGGGTATAAACTTCCTGTGAGTCTATCAAATGTTGCAGCCTTCTCCAGTGTGGTGCTCTGTGGATATGATGGACTGCAACCCCCATAATTCCCAGGCAGCGTGGCTATGGTGGTTGCCGTCCAAAACATCTGGAAGACATCAGGTTGGGGAAGGAGGCTCTCGATGGTGCTTTGAGAACTGCATCACCTCCTTTGAACACCAGAGGGCTTAATGCCTTTAAATTATAGGCATGGAAGGTCCTATGAGGTCTCTAGAGCCAGGGAATTTGAACTGAAATAAGAAAACCTCCCCCAGTAAGTGGCCTGCTCTGTGCGTGCGTGTGCATGTGTGCATGCGTGTGTGTCAGGCTTGTGCATTCCTGTCCAGCACAACTCAAAGTTAGCTGATACTCGTGTTTGACATGAAGTAATTCCAGAACTTGTATATTATTTTTTAAATGCCAAGATTTGATTGTTTTGTCTTGCATGTACTTTTCATGTCTGCATTGGATACTGTGCTGCTCCAAACCATTTAGTTACAAAGACTTCCATTAAAACTAAGGTGCCACTAATTAGTTAAAATGTATGGTTCATTCATTGGCTTTAGGCTACCACCTGCGGCAGTTCTAGCATTATCGAGCAACGTGGCTGTCAGTTAGCATTTAGTGCTCCATGCCATGGTAAAAAGCAAAACAAAAGTAGAAACCGCACAGGAGAAGCAGCCCAATCTCAGATGTTGGCTCTTCTCACCACAAGGTTTCTGTATGATTATGTTACTGTGGTTAGTGGATTGAAGTGAAGCTCTGGAGAAATGGCAAAGTGGACTGCCAATGAAACATATGCATCAGTTTGCTGAGGTGATCGTTTGTGATGGGCTTGGGAAAAAAAGCTGAAGCATGGAGAGCTCCTGTTCAGGGTTCTAGCCAGCAAGTCATGCCCCTTTCCAGAAAACTCCATACATTTCCCCCCTCTTAGTTGTTCCATTCCTTCCTCCAAAGGCAAGACAATAAGCATGCTTAGTCTTTTAATTTTTTATTGTTTTCTTGAGAGCATGCTTAATCTTCAGGAGGCTGCTTTTGCTCATCCACCTCCGCTGCTTTATGATTTGTTCTAAAAGGCTGTTGTTATTTTGTACATCTGCAACCCTTGAGGCTATGCCAAGCCTGCAGATAACTGCCTCTTCATTTTACCTGTCTAAAAATTAACCCCCCAGCTTAGTATTACCAATATTAGAAGGCTATATGAAGATGCTTTTTCCAGATATCTTCCATTTTCCATTGTCTTGTTGTTTACAGGGACTTGTATGATGAACCATGGAAATATGTGGATGCCATAAATTAGTGCAGGATAGTCCCAACTGGTTTCAGTATTCTGCTCTGTTGGGCATGGCCCCAGTGTTTGAGCTTCATGTTCTCAGTTGGAACACATCTTTGTGTCATTTCAGAGCCCATTTTTGTGGATGCCCATCTCATCCCTGATGGTACAGATCCAAACGATGCTAAAGTGTACTTCTTTTTCAAGGAGAAACTGACAGACAACAGTGGCAGCACCAAGCAAATACACTCAATGATTGCCAGAATATGTCCTGTAAGCAATACTTTTTCATACACTATTCTGATCATTATCTCTCAAGGTGGTGCACTGGATCAAGAAGCAAGAATGCCTTGTACAAAACCATCAGAAGGCCTAACATTCCTTTGGTGATCTGTTTAGAAAGGCTGGTTAATAGATGGTTTTTGTTGTGGGAGGCCAAGGATGGAGAGCCACAAAATCGAGGTCCCTGCTTACCAGGAGGCACCATTGTGAACACTGGTGGGTGGAGGAAGGGAGGAAGAAGCGAATCTGGCATCTGCCCAGCTGCACCCATCCCTCCCTGTGGCCTGACAGTACTGGAAGGCAAATTGGCTTGATGAAGATGGGATGGATTGGAAGGAAAACTAGGCTGGGAAGAGCTGCATCCTCTCTTTCCCCCCGAGGCTCAGAAATGGAAGCCTCACTGGAGGAATTGGAACCATTGCCATCACCAACTTCCTCATTCACCCAGACTTGCTTGTAGCAGATCTTGCAGCAGCCAGAAGATATCAAGGCTGAGAAGGAGTTGTAGCCACCTTCTAATTGGCAAGCAAAGGGGGCAGGGCTTTGCTTTCCCCATGGTAAAATTAGTCAGTGTCCATAAGTTGATCTAAACATGCGGGGCCATTCTGGTTGAATTGCACATCTAAGGCACAATGGTGGGGGGACAGGGGTGTGATAGCTGAATTCTGGATCAGTTTGGGCAGAGGAGCAGGATCTCCTGAAGGGAGCTGGGTAGGGGTGGCACATCAAGGCCAGGGCAGCACAGAGGCTGTGAGCCTGAGACCTCCAGGGTGGAGGGCAAGGGGTTTACATAACCATTTTCACTGCAGTGGATGCCTGACCCTGTCACCCACCACCAGCAGTCCTGGCAGGCAGTCCAGGCAGGAAAATCAGACAGCAGCCAGGCTGCTCCATGGCAGAATCTGCACCCTGTGCCTTTCAGCCCCTACTGAAATTGAATAAGGTTGTGAGAATTCAATGGCTCCTTTAAATGGCATCGGTGGTTTGTTCCTTTCATCTCTTCTGCTGAATGGACGTAGTTAGGCTCTGTGCCATACAGTGTCTCATACCTGATTTTATGATGTGCATCCTCAGTGGAATAGTGATCTGCATAAGCTAGAACGAACGGTTTGTTAATTAAGCTCAATTATAGTAAGCTTACAAGTATTTAGCATTATTGGTTTTTTTAATCATTTCTGCTCCACATAAATGGATAAAATCTTTTTTTAACAGGGCAACAGCATAATCAAAGATGTCAAACATGTTGGAAACTAGAGTCCGGTGTTCACTTTTCTTTTTAGAAAAGAAATTTAAAACTGTGCATTTAGCCTTAACTTTTCTGGGATCCAGATCTTCCCTGGCACTGCTACCACAATGCCTGAAAAGGGATAATCCTTCAGTCCATTTTTCTTAGAAGTACCATTTCCTTGAGGGCAGGTTCTTGCAGGACAAGCAACTTGTGTATTTTTCTGATTTCGTTTTAGGAGCACAATGTGAACCCTGAAGACTTAGCAGTTACTAGCTATTTTTACAGAAAACATCAACATTCCACGTGTTCCACAGATATATTTAGATATATTTGCCCACCATGTTCCCTTGTAATCTACAGATCTGAGAAAACCAGTGCATTATTGTATACATTTTCTGGTAGAAATAGTGCTTAGCCATTCTCCCCATTTGGCGTATCAGACATTGGAACTGATCCGTCTGTAATGATGATGACTTCTGTGCTGCTGTACTTTGGGTCTCCGAGGCTGCCACCTACTCTGATCCAATCACATAATCTGAAAGAGTCTCATTGTCTACGTCTTTTCAACTACTGTATTTATGTCTGTTAACCTGAATCTAGACATCTATGGCCATCATTAATGGGAACTGCTATAACCACAGTGACTGGCATGGGACCCATTTATATTACAAGCCCCTGTTAGTTTGCTCAACCCATCCTAGGGATGGAAGTGCACAAAGGCAGCAATTTCAGCTTCTGTTGATTCATGAAAATGAAGGTACAAACCACTGTCAATGATGTGAACACAACACAGCTCCACCTTCCAAAAGAGTTGCGTGAGAAGACACCCATAGCATTCATCAAACACTATTATACTCTGCCTCACTTCTTCTCAGCATTGTACATTTTCTCTCACATGAGAATGTCCCTCCAGATGTTTTGGCCTGTAACTCCTTTAGTTCCAGCCAGCATAGCCAAAGCTGACAGATGCTGGGTGTAGACCACAATGTCTGGAAGACCGTGGGTTGTCCACCCCTGGTTTAACCTGGCAACAAGTTCAGTTTTCTCATTTCAACCACAGGGTTGAGCAGTGGAATAAATCTGTTTTATTTTTTATTTGATTGAGTCAAAGAAATATAGCACATTATTTAGGATTTTTACTTTTCTGCTGTTGTCAAGGTTCCAGAGACATTTTTTTTTTCAGAAGACATCAAATATGATTAAACCATTGTTGTCATAATGAAGTCTAGATGACTTCTTCAAATGCCTGGGGCACATTTCCACTTGAATTGTCTTTGCCAAATTGCGCAAAAACAAGCTTCGGAAGAATATGAGCTGGACATGTTTGCTGTCATTTATCTGCTGACTCTGTTAGAACTTTGGCATTGAAAATCTTTTCAGCAAGAATTGGACAGGGTCTAAAATTTAGTAGAACCTGCAGCAAGATGTTGTAGCTTGGAGAGCTCTGTGCTCAGAATGCCAGTGACTCAGTTACATTCCATTGGCCTTCTTTCTTGGTGCTCTGTGATTTTTTCCCAGCAGTCAGTCAGCACTCCATGGGCAATAAGCACAGTCTTTATTATTCTTTTTTGCAAGTCTCCTCCCTGCCTCCACTTTGTAGGGCTTTTCTCCTAAAGATTTTTTTTGTACTCTTGCAAATTGAGGATTCCCCCAAGTTTCCTAATTCCTCACCCTTGTCTGTGAGAGGTTTTCTTTTGCCTAAAAAAATGCAAGTATTTGCCTAAATAAATGCAAGTACCTTCTTATATATAGTAATCCTGCATATGGATGCCAGTTAAATATGCTCCATTCATTTCAGCTTATTAATGGCCGATCTACATACTCAGTAACTGAACAAAGTTAGGGATGGACAAACCTCCAAATCTATTCCACTCAGCTTCTCATTTTTCCTACATTAAGCTTTTAAGTCTGCATGAGAATGTGTGTGTTCCTGTGCATTTTTCAAAATGTACATATTGTGTACCCATTTTTCAAAATATATGTATTTTTGCAGCTGATTTTCTTCTGCATACCTCTATGCGATATAGACATTTTGTGGGTATGCCTCTGTCCCATCAGTATTTTTGATATATGAATATTGATTGCAAATTTGCAGATCAAATGTTGACATTTAGCTGCCTTTCGATCCATTCATAGGTTTGGGTAGCATGAATTGTGTAAGTTTGCATAAAAATGCAAACTGAGCAGTATTTTCCTCCACTCCAAGGAGAACCACATGTCATACCTGTTTGAGGGCTATCACACCTTGGCGTGGTCTCCTCTGGCAAATACCTGGTAGAAGCACTTGCTATTCAATCACTGTAATCCTAATTGTATGAACTTGGAATGGCAGGTGGAAAAGTGTGTCTTGTAAGTCCAAGGCCCTGTTGAAAAGGGCTTGCTGCTGTTGGAAGATTTCTCTCCCTTCTTAATGTGTGCATTCTTTCCTTCCTTTTCTACCCAGAATGATATTGGTGGACAGCGTAGTCTCGTAAACAAGTGGACGACCTACTTGAAAGCCAGACTTGTGTGTTCAGTCATGGATGAAGATGGCACAGAAACCTACTTTGATGAATTAGGTAGAATGATAGCAGCCTCTAAATATTTAAATACCTTTTTTATCCCTGATATGTTGCACTGAACTCATTTCTTGCAGTGGCCTTTTCAAAGGTTATTTAATCTCGCAGAAAACGTTAGGGGGAAAAGGAGGCTCAAACTCTTGTCATTTTGTCCCTGTTTGTATGTTAGTTATTGTTTCTTCCACATATGGTCTCCAGTTAGCATTGATGGTTGCTTATATTATCCATAAGAAATAATTCTTACCGAATTCTGCCGTACAGAGGTTAGCCCCACTGAGTTCAGTGGAACTTTCTCCTAAACAAGAGTGCACAGCGCTCAGCTTCACATAAGCATTTCCACAGGGGCTTGTACAATCTACTCTTACATCAATATTTATGAGCTGGCTTGTCTGAAAGATTCATCGTAAGGTGGACCTCAACGCAGCTCTATTATCAGCGTAGCACAAAGAATACGTATCTATTCACCGGAACCTCATCTGCAATGTAAAAATTGCTTCCTTGGAATTTGGCACTATTTTAAAATTTTGCCTGATGAGACAAATATATTGAATAAATAATATATGTATTTATATGTACAAATAGATGAATGCAACTATATTTATATCAGTACAAAAATATTGAATAAATAAATATTGTACTAAGGAAATTGGATAAATGGTCACATATATTCAGACAATCCAGTTCCAGAGAATTTCTACCACACAGTGATAGGGGAATGGCATATGCTGGCTTGGCTCCATCCAGGGGCTGCTGGTTTCTATGCAGGCTTGATCTGGTCTAGAGGGTTTTGCCCTTTCTCTTCTCGCTGTGGTGATTTCAAACCTCTCCCAGCTGATACTGCCACTAGCACCTAGTTCTGGGCATATGATGATTGTTAGCGTTCCTGCTAAGGGGTTTCCATGCTATATGGATGAAATGTGGGTGCCCTAGAAGGGAAGGAACAGAACTGAAGTTCCAGCAGCCATCAGGAGCAGCAGGGGAAGATGAGAGCCTCAGAGCAATGAGGGACAAAGGCTGACTCTTGGGCATGCACCCCACAAAAAAGAGGACAAAAGTAGATATGGATTTGCATTTGCTAATTTGAATGCAGTTTGCACACATGGATTTCAGGCATTATCCATGCACTTTTAAAGGTGTGTTGTGGGGGCGGGGGAGAGGCCTAGAGGTCCCAGCATTCTACAACCAACATAACTAGCTGGCAAATGCTGCATACTATAGGATTTTCTTCTGTCTAAATATGCATAGGATTGCACCCTAAGACATAGTTTAAACAGACCTTCAAACAGAACCCTACAAATGGGGAAAGGGGTATTTCTCAAGTAGAATATGGGGCAACCTAGTCTGACCCACTTTTCAATTTATTTGGTTGTCATATAAACCATATAAGCTGGAGAGATTGATGGAGGTCGAAGCAGAGATAAAGATGATAGAGATAGTGATAGCTAAATATAAAGGGATATATTTATATTGTACAAGGTATCTTACTAGTGATATAAAATAAGCATATTTGTTGCCATTGATAGTCTAAACAAGCCTACTGGTTTCAAATGGAACAGCTTCCTGCTGCTACTGACTTTTTTAGCATTTGCATTCTCTGGTGCCTACTGGACTTTTTATATGTGCTGGTTTCATTGTGTTTGAATTGGTATCAGAGTGGGCAGTGCAATCTTGTCTCGATGGCCTGAGAATTATTCAGAATCCCAGCAGTAACTACAGAAATTTGCACTGGGGCTCCAAGCTTGGAGCAGCCCCTACACACATGCACGCACACACACACACCCCAGCACAGAAAGAATTAAGCTGGGTGCTTCTCCAAGTCCAAACATGACCTTGGAGAAGGGCTTTAAAGGACATGCCAGGAGGTATGGAGAGGAGTAGTGGAAATCGGTGCCTCCACAATGCAAGGGATTATGGCAGCAGCTCAGCATCCTTGCCTCCTAAGTGCCAAGGTTAGGCAGCAATGTTGCCTCCAAGCTCCTCTCACCCTGCATTGGATGCCTGAAAGCTCTGAGTTCAGAGGACCATGGACATCCTGGTTGGGCCGTGCCCTAAAGAAACTCTGTCTGGGAGGCCTTTAAGGGTGCAATGAATAAAATAAAGCTCAGGACATGTGGGTTGCATTTGGAAATCACCAAGTTGTGCGCAGTGATTTATTGAGTGCTGTTTGTTCTCCACAGAGGATGTGTTTCTGCTAGAGACAGATAACCCAAGAACAACACTGATATATGGCATTTTCACAACATCCAGGTAATCTTATGCCGATATTAAAGCAAATATTAAAGGACTTTTGCATGAGACCAGTGAGGTACCTATCCTTAAATATACCTCTGTAAATCTATATCATTGAAGGAAAGGTTTTAATTAGAATATTACAAGCAAATGTTTTCAATACTAGAAGCATTTACATTCCCATGCAAAGATAGCATGACAAGGGCCGTTTGTCTGATAAAGAATCACGCAGTCATCAAATATAGTGATCTGATCGCCCAGAGATTATAGCATGCTGATTATGTGCTTCTTTTGAGACTTTCCTCCAAGGCCATTTATCATATCTTTCCCATGAAAACGAGACTGCAGCATTGCTTCAAGCAAGTCTAGAAAGAAACACTGGGCAGACGAGCTTCAACAAACTTAGATTTCTTTGCACAGTCTCACTATGGCTTCTTTTCCCCATTATGCATGTCGAAAGGAATTGCCTAATTACCCCTGCTGGTGCAGCTTGCCCTATGATGCATCTAGAATGCTGGAACAGCCCATGGGTACTGGGTGGCTTATTGCCCATGGCAACAAACCACCCTTGCCAGGTTTGCATGATGTGGACTAGTGCAGTGGCAAGAGTCAGTGTGCAATTCTCCTCACCCCGGTTCTGACATGAGGGTGGGGGAAATAATTGTGGTGGCCAGTCGGTGTCCATTTAAGGACACATTTGTCCTCATGTCACTCTCTTTCAGAAATTCAGAAATACTTTGGAGGTAAATTATTTGTTCTAATGCTAAAGACAACGATTTTCCTACTGCTGATTTGTATGAGTAGGCTCTTTAGCCATTGTGTGGAAGACAAAGAACAAATTTTTATCTGACAAGAAGTGATATATACCCTACACTTTCAATTACTAACACTTCCCTTAGAAGTAGCTACAGTGTAAATAAATAAATAAATAAATAAATAAATAAATAAATAAATAAATATCTCAAGCAAGCAAGCGTTTAGTAACTTGGTGTGCAATGCTGTGTGTGTGCCAGCAGAACCCACCTCCAGAGACAAGGGAAGCCAGCACTTCCTGAAGTAACTGGAAAGAAGCTGAAATGCTAATGGAAGTCAGCAGAGTTCCCAGGAAGGTTCGATAAATTCATGGAGGAGAAGGCTATCTTTGGCTACTGGTGGCCATTCTGTTCCTGCAGTGGCCAACCACCTGCCCACAAAGTCTCACAGGCAAGAGCACATGCCTGTCCAAACTCCCAGCAACGGATATGCTTAGGCAGCATATTGCTAACAAGACCAGTATCCTTCTTCTCGGTGAATTTATCCAGTCCTTCTCCTACATAGACCAGTAGCTCTGCTTATGTTCTTAAGGAGATTCTGTGGACCAACCCCATTCCAGAATGGAGTACTTGGGCTCATTTCTGGGATTGCTGAAGGAAGGACGTGTTGTGCTGGCGGTGGAGCTTCCTGGCACCACCACCACTGTGGATCCGCGGGCACCATTGGACACTGCCCTTGATTTTCATTGGGTCCTGGATATTTGCTCGTGCGAGCAAGTGCTGAATATGCAAGGCAGCTGTGTGCCTGTAATTCTGTTAGGGGTCCCTCCACAGTAAATAGATAATCCCCTTTTTTCATCAAAGCACTAAATATGGTAATTCTTTTCTTAATTGCTTGGCAATCGAGAAAAGAATCATGTCAACAGCTGAGACTCTATAATGTGCTCCATGAACAATGTAAGAAGGAAGCTTAGCAGGAGGGGTGGAGAGAGGCCACGTTTCTGATTACATTATGTATTCAGCATGTTTGAACTGAAAATTGGTTTGCCTAACTCATGTGGCGGAGTGGAAAATGGACAAAAAGCAAGGAAGCCATATAAGGTGGCAGCAAAGTGAGCTCTGAGTATATTCCAGGCCCTGGAGGTAATTCCTTTGCTCTGTGCAAGGTTGACACTGGCTTGGGTTTCTTTTACTACGTATCCACAGTGATTTTTTTATTCGTTTTAAAAAATAACTCTAAATTGAGCATATAGTATAATTAGAAGTAGAGATTGTAAGAGATTTCATTTGGCAGTCATGCCTGTGATTTGTCTTCCTCTGATGTGCAGAAACATGTTGCGGCCCAGAATTGTAATTAATTTTAATTAAAGCCCATTTTCTCAAGAGCCTTTCTGAGATAAAGTAATTGTATGGAGAAAATGTAATAAATTAGACAAAGGGTATATTGCTTGAGTTATGAAATATAGCCTCTCCCCCTCAAGTCCATGCTTACCATTATTTCAGAAATGAGAGATCAGTAAATATGGAAGCTGATTTTAAGACAACAAACTTGGTCATGGTATATTATTTCATGAATCAGATATTCAGCCTGTTTAGTATGATCAAATGTGTATATCTTGTAAGATTCTGAGAGGAAAAGACATGATCATGAAGCTGAAAACCTTCATATCAAATGAAACCTGAGAGAGAATTCTAAGTCAGACCTATTCCAGTATCTAGGAAATAGCGTAACTTTCCCAGCCAGTGTTGAGGATCTGCTCCTTACAATCACAATACTGGGGAACAGCTAGAGATTTCTGTAATGCAATCTGGAGCATGAGCATAAAAGCTCCTGTATGTTCATAGAGGGATAGTGGATTACCATCTCCTGGCATGCCATGCATTCAAAAGCTATGTGAGAAGAAACTCCACAAATATTTGAATACATACAGATTTGTATACACATGAGCAAGTGCCACAGTTGGCCACAGCACAAAATTCATATGCATATGTATTTTCTGCATTGATTTGCACTTCCAAAAATTTTCAAACCCCACTAAATATGTACATTCCCTCATTAATGCATAATTTCACACTGTGATCTGCAGGAAAAATGCATGTTTTCAGTTGGGTATTTATTTTCCTCATAGTTTTCTGCAGCTAAATTTATGTACCATCTTGGAAGCTAAACACACACACACACACTCTCTTAGTCTGCAAGTCTGGAGAAGGCTGTCCTGCTGCTGAGTTCATGGGTTGGATTCCCAGAAATACAAACTCATTTGAATCTGTTCTGGGCATCTCCAATATTCCTACAGGAATGATTTTAGAGTCACTTTGTTCTAGATGCAAGAAGGTGGTGTGATCAGATTTTCTTTTCCCTGTTTTCCCCAGTTCTGTATTTAAAGGCTCAGCCGTGTGCGTGTACCACTTGTCTGATATCCAGAGGGTGTTCAATGGGCCGTTTGCACACAAGGAAGGCCCAAACCATCAGCTGATTCCTTATCAAGGAAGAATTCCCTATCCACGCCCCGGGACTGTAAGTACGCTGCCACGGAACTCCAGCTTTCCTTTGTGTTCTTTTGATGGTCCTGAACTCAGCATTGGTTTGGGCTGACCCTGGGATGTTCAAGCTGCTTTGGTGGGTGGTGGTGAGTGGGGTGATTTCAGGAAGGATACAGACAAGTTGGCTAGAATTAAGAGGCAGAGGAGATGATAAAAGGCAGCAGTGGATGATTGTGATATAAGTAGAAAGACCGAAGGCTCTGCAATACATGTAGCCCAAAGAAAAGACTAGAGTTTTTAAAGGTGGCCATAGAAAAGTAGGCAGAACAATCCACATTCTATTCATGAGCCCCAAGACAAGAAGCCCCAAGTTTAGGATACAACAACAGGATGAATTTAAGTTAAACACTGGGAGGAAAGTTTTGACTGGGTCAGGGCAATTGGCCAATACTGGCTGTTGGCATGAGGGAACTACTTATGGGAGCTGTGCCGTCTCTTAGTTTTAGAACTGAGTCATGCCTGATGGAAGAAAAAAAAAAAAGAATTTCTTCACATCAGAATCTGTGTCAAAATGACTTAAAAGATAAAATCCACAGGCAGCAACCCCTGGGACAATTCTGTTGCTGATGTGATTGAGGCTGATTGAATGTTTCCTCGTATTTGGAAAACAAATGAACAACAGTCTCCCCCTGCATGGAACGAATAGAACGCCCGGGAAATGGCTGTGACTGGAGCGTGTAGGCACTAAGTACAGCTTTCGATATGGAAGTGATGGCAGTACAAAAGCTCAGTAGCGGAACTTTCATAGCTGCACGCAGAATACCCTGTGTTTAATCTGCAGCATCTTTCAAGCAGGACTCCGATGAGCCTGGGTTTAATGCCAGCGAAGGCAGGGCACAGTTGTGTTGGGACACATCTCCATCTGGCAACATGGAGAGTCCCTACCATGGCAAGATGGACCCAGTGTTTTAACTCAGTGCAGGGTGGCTCCCTAGCTAAGGAGGTAATAATAATTTATGCTGATTTTCCTAAAGTAAAAAATGAATGCAACTCCCTGCTAAGGTCACGGCCAATTTAATTCCTAATATCCTGTCTTTTTTTTTTTTTTTAATCCTGGGGGAACCCACCATAACAATTCAGCAATCCCAGATAGAGAAACTGCAGCAGCCTTGTTAGCAAAGATCAGTTACTGAGCTGATTAGCAGTGAGAGCTTTGCTGATAAACTTGTAACTGAAGCATAATGGCTGCTAATGGCACTGACGATTAGAATAATTTGATTAGCTTTGACAGATCTGGTTCCCGCATATGGGGTTTTCAAGTCTGAACAGTACAAGGCACAAGTGAAACTTAATTCCTTTTAGTGTCAAGTAGAGCAATTCAGCTTCACATGGAGATAAATGAATGTACAAGGCTCAGAGTTCTGACAGATAAAAGGTGAATAAAAGATAACTTGTAACTTGTCTAACTTGCATTCCAGAGGTTCATTATTCAGTGCAGTATTTTTGTAACATATGAAATCAATGATTCTTTTAACATGGAGGGTTAGTGAGTCTGGGGCTGGTCACACTGGCAGGGGAAAATATGTCTGAAAAGATAATTAACAATTTCAAGTGCAGTTGAAAGAAAAGAGTTTGGAGTGATAAGTAGATTGATAGGTGTCTTCTAAAGCATATTACAGGCTGAAAATGAATTTCATTGAAAACAAAGATTATGGATTGCAATATATGGAATACTCGGAAAATTTATTTTAAGCAAATAAATATTCAATAGTGATCATGTTGAAATTACAGCTATATCCAATATATAAGCCTTAGGCACTGTAATCAGAGGATAGTCTGACCAGTATATTGTGTCACTTAATTTGTTGCAGCAGTTCTGAACATACGAGGGGTCTTCAAAAAGTTTCCGTACTTTTATATTTTGTACATTTTTTTTTTGCTGATGGCATTAAAAAGTTAGTACAACGGTGGGAAAAATGCATTGCAAAGGAAGGTGACTATGTAGAAAAGTGATGTAATTTGTTTTTGGAATTTTTAAATAGAATTTTTAAAAATGCAGAAACTTTTTGAAGAACTCTTGTAATGTTGGGCAGTACAGAGGGTGGCGACAAGTGGCAGGGCTTTCTCTGCAGTGGCCCCCCATCTTTGGAACAACTTCCCCACTGCAGCCTGGTTGGCACTGAATTTGTCTTTTTTTTGGTGTCAGGGTAATTATAATTTTCTCCACAATACTAAAAAGGCCTATAGTAGTAGCTAAATCATGATGAAGAAATGGGGTGGAGAGGGGAATGAAATCTACAAGTCTCACCCACACAGATTTTATATCATGCCCTCATGGCCTTCTAAAACCAAAGATAATAAATGGACTTAGGATCCAAGGTCCTTTTCATCTCCCGATAATTCAAGTATCACTCTCAGCTCCCAGGAAAAATGACCCTATATTGCAAACAGCGTACCTGCAGAGTTATGCACAGAGGTCTCCATATGAGGTCTACAAAGTGCACTCAAGCCTTTTAATGTTAGTTGCAAAGTCACTCCCGACCCATCGCGACCCCATGGACAACATTCCTCCAGGCCTTCCTGTCCTCCACCACCCCCCGAATTCCACTTTAGCTCACGCCAACTGCTTCAGTGACTCCATCTAGCCACCTTATTCTCTGCGCTCCCCCGCTTCTTCTTTTGCCATCACTTATTCCCAGCATTAGGCTCTTCTCCAGGGAGTCCTTCCTTCTCATTAGGTCGCTAAAGTATTTGAGTTTCATCTTCAGCATCTGGACTTCTAAAGAACAGTCAGAGTTGACCTCCTCTAGGACTGACTGGTTTGATCGCCTTGCAGTCCAAGGGACTCTCAGGAGTCCCCTCCAGCACCACAATTCAAAGGCCTCAGTCCTTTGGCACTCAGCCTTCCTTATGGTCCAGCTTTCACAGCCATACATTGCAACTGGGAAAACCATAGCCTTGACTATACGCATTTTTGTCGGCAGGGTGATGTCTCTGCTTTTTAGTATGCTGTCTAGATTTTCCATAGCTTTCCTCCCAAGGAGCAAGCATCTTTTAATTTCTTGGCTGCAGTCACTGTCTGTGGTGACTCAAGCCTTACACACAGCCTTTTAGAGAGCAGAGAAAATCGGAAAGCTTCTTGTGGCTCCCTTTGGCAGGGCATTCTTGAACCCTCTCATCTGGATAAAACTGGAGAGTTGGGAAGTGAATAAATGGAGATGCCATGGCTCAGGAAAGCAACTACTCTGGAGGGAGGTTTGCAGCTAGTTTTGGATCGGGTCACACTCCCCTTCAAAGACCAAATGCCTGGGATTCCTCCTGTTTCTGTGCTAACTGCTGAAGCCCACGGGGCTGCAGGTGCATTTTACTAGCCCAGTCTGCTATGGTGCTTACAGGCATGCCCGGAGCAGATGGACCTTGGCTCAGTTATCTGCATTTCACTGGCATCCGGACTGGACTGCTGAAATGTGTTCTATGTGGCACTGGCATTAAAAATGATTTAGAAACTTCTGCTGGTGCAGAATGCAGTGGCCTGAACGTTGGTGGAATGTGATGCAACTTGATAACATAATGTCAAGAGATATACGCTGCCCAGAGATAGGAGGAGGAGGAATACAAATGTCTAAATAAAAAAACAAATAAGAATGTATTGTGCCCACTGTACTGGCTACCAGTGTGATTTCAAGCTCAGTTTAAAGTGTTGGTTTTTACCTTGAGAGCCATGGGACCAAATTACTTTTAGAACCACCTGCAAGCGTAAGAACAAGAAAAGTCTTGTCCCTTTACCCAGCTGTAAGGGCATTGAGATCGTCAACCATGCAAGAAAAGAGCTTTTCTGCAGTGGTCCCACACTTCTGGAATGAGTTGCCACCAGGGGTCCACTAGGTCCTATCATTGCAGTCTTTTAAGAAAGTCCCAAAAACAAAGTATTTTACTTCGGCTTTTCCCAGATTTGTTTGCCATGGTTGCTATTTTATTACTGTTTTTTATTGCTGACTTTAACATACTTTTGCTGTTTTTACTAGATTTACTAGCAAATGGGGTGGTGGCTGATTTGATGATCAGTGGATGTTGGTACCTCTGGAAAGTCATTGTTGTATTGGGTTGTTGTTCCCATTCTCAGGTTACTTGAAAACTCCCTGTCTATAATCCTGAATGTGAATATAAACACATCTTCTGAAAAGTTTGCAAATTTCCAAACATGCCTTTATTTGCCAGCTCAAAACACTTTCAACTTTCTCCAAATGCACAACTTTTTCAAAATGTACATATTTTAAATCACTCACACTCTCATCTATAAAGGAAATGGTGGCATTTTGGAAATTTGCACAAATGCAAAGATGTGAGGACTCTGCATAACTGTTGTGTTCAATGGCCAGCCACTCCATGGAATGTCCTTATTTGCACAAAAATGAACAAAAATCTCAAATGTCAAGGAGAGAGAAACAGTGAGCTCATGTTCAGAGAATCTTGGCAAATTCTCACATTGTGCATTCGCCCATCCCTGCTGTTGCATGCCCTGAATACACACAACTCGGGGAGTAGATGGGGCACAGGTCCAAATGCTCCCTCGCTTAAGAACTGCCTGCATAGAGAAGGCCAGCAGAACCAAGAGAGGGTCAGGTGAAAACTAGCATGTGCAAGGAAAATTGCACATCAGTAAATTTAAATATGCAGGAATCCTCTTCCTCCGCCTCTCCAAAGTGGTCCAGACCTGGAAAGGCTGTGAGATTTTAAATTATTTAGTCTGGCTCCTAGTTTTGACCCAGAGGCAATTTGCCTCAGAGTAAAGAATGCTAGAGTTTTCCTGTGGTTGTATCATAAGAAGGAGGCATGCTTGAAAGAGTATAAAGCATTACAGTGTTTGTTCCGATCAAGAGGACTGTGTTCTCTTACGCAGGATAACAATAGTATTAATTTCTAACAAAAGCATGTGAACAAGCCCAGGGCAAATTGAGGAGGAGGAAAGACATTACTTAGTTACAACTGGGATGAGTTCCCTCTATTAGTTGGCTTTGCACTTCTTAACTGGCA